AGCTTTCCAAAAAAAAAAAAAAAAAAAAAAAAAAAAAAAAAAAAAAAAAAAAAAAAAAAAAAATAGGGCAGTCAAAAGCAATAAACAAGATTCAAGTAGAGCAATCTGAACAAATTTTAAACATCTGGGATTAATTTTTCAAAGTGAATAATATCTAGAACACAATGCCACTTATGTAAATTAGCAACACTAAATATTTCTCAAAGATAAAAATTGCGTATATATGGGAACATACGGTAAACATTGTACAGCGGGTGCTTATGTGGAGGGTAGGAGAACGGAAGTGTGGATGAAGGGCAACAAAGGAGGACAACAAGAGGGAGAACTTGCAAAGACCAGTAATAACAGCCAGCCATGAGCAGCATCTTGAATCCCAGACAATCAGAGAGAGATGAGAGAACAGATTTTGGAGACAGACTTCTATTCAAATCCCAGTTTCATCAGCTCAGTTTCCTCTTATGCAAAACAGGATATTAATAATTCTTCTTCAAAGGGCCTTACAAGAATTAAGTAATATCTATGAAGCACTTGGCTGGTGATTGCCACACCCGGAGGCACTAAGGTGAGCTGTCATCAGCAACAAGAGCATTAGCTCATTACCATCATTATCACTGAGAACATGTTATCACCAGCATGTTATCAAATGGTAACATGAATTGTCCAGATGTTACCTTGTGATAGGCCTCAAAGAATTCATCAAGTTACATATGATAATCTTGAAATTTTTCTGCATTGTAAAGGAGTGAAGAATTGGAAATTCTGGGGAAAAGATCTAGATGGAGTAAAAAGACTCACTTTGAGAAAAACTCAGAGGAGAGCCTAGAATAAAGAAATCTTTGGTGGGAAATTTTTCAAGTCAAATTCTGAGCACTGTATAATATGAACACTACAGACAGTTCCAGCGATTTCTAGGGAAGACTATACAGCTCACAAATTTTTGGTGTACTAAGGTTTCTTCTGAATCCAGTGAAGGGCTGAGATCTGTGCTCTGGAGGATGAGAAGCCAAAATAGAGCCAGCTTGTGTTGCCTAAGAGGACAGCTGACAGCTGCATGGCATTCTTACTGTAGAGGTGGTGGCTTGGGGCAGAAGTCAGACCTCTGCGGCAGGCTGTGGATCATGTGGGAAGCCACACACTGGCCCCCGAGCTGAGGCATTAGCAGGGTGGAGGGGAAGCACAGGAGCACTGGCCAGCCCAGGCACTCCTAAAGCAGGCAGGTTGATCATCCCTGTTCCCGGTAACTAGTTCTTCTCTGCCTCCCCTACTCTAGGACATATCAAATATGTCCCTGCTTTGTTTGAGATCTACATGACTGTCTGTCTTTTATCAAAACCTGCACTCAAAACAGTATCCGAAGTGATCAGCATAATTTAAATAACCAGTCACATTTTTCTAAGAGGCATTTGCACTCTTAAAAAGGGCTAATCCATTAAGCAAAATATGAGGAGATTCTCAGAGTGGAACTTCAGGCATCAGTCAGAGGGGAAGATACTATCTTAATGGGAGTTGACAGTATCTGATAATTGATCTCCTTCCCTCAGATTTCCAAAGGATCAAGGTGCCCCGGTTCTAAACAACTACAGGTAAGGACAGGATAGAGTCCAAGGAGACATACTATCAGGTTGGAAAATTCATTAAGTATTTACATGAAAATTCAGGTTCCTCATTGCTCAGGTATGGTCACGTGGCTCAGAAAGCACAAGACGAAGAGGTCAGATCTGAGAGGCTTCTGTGGGGCTGATGCAGTGACTTCTCTGCCGCAGGTCAGGAGTCCTGGAACTGGGGCATGGTTGGGGAGGGGTTGCAGGGAAGGGTGGGAGGAGGGAAGAAAGGAACAAGTGAGTGAATGTACCACAGGATGAGATCATGGGGATGGGTAGGAAAGAAGAGTTTTTTTTTAACTTCTTAAGAACTTAAGAATTTATGAGAACTTAAGATTTCAGGAAGGGCGGAAGAAGAAACACATTGCATTTCTATCCTTGACTGGGGAACTAGATGATAGGGACATGAAGGGTGGTTGGTGAGTCATGCCTTTCCGTCTACTCATTGTTAGAGGATGTGAGCTCCAGGGGCAGGCAACCCAGCATTGACCCCTCTAGGTCTCACACCAATGTCTGTCACCAGGAGTGAACAGGAAAAAGGACCTTAAGGACGCGAGGCTGTGTCTTCCTCAGCTGAGCCTTGCAGGGCTGGCTGGAAGGTGGAGAAGGGGTGCCATGGGAGTGGGATGTCCATGGGAGCCTGAAGATGTCAGAGGCATCTGCTGGAGACTGGGGTTCTATGGAACTCTCTTGTGATATGGAGGGCACAAGTTCTGCGGGCCTTCCTTACAGTAGTCAGGGCTGGCCTGAACTGTGAGGTGGCTATAGAGGTGGTAGATGAGACATTTGGGATACCTGATATTCAGCCTGTCTCCCACTCATTCCAATCTGCCATCTTCAGGAACTAGGAGTGGGTGGGAGAAGCAGCAATGTCTCCTGGTACTCAGTGGCATCCTCTGGCCACCTTGTTTCTCTCTGTCCCCCGTCCCCTGCCAGTGCATCTTCATGCTTCTGCCACTGCTGCAGTCAGATCCATCATGTGGGCACTGACAGCTTTTCTGCTCCTGGGTGAGTCTGCAGTGAGGCAGCAGAACAACTTTGGGTGGTGGAGGATAGGGTGGAACAAGCTATGGGGAGAGGAGGGTGGGTATCCAATCCTCAGTTTCCAAGTGGCTCATTATCGATTTTTGGAGGGATGAAGAAGAAGGGGCTTTCTCAGAGCTTGGGAAACCAGGGGCAGGAGAAGAAAAACAGGTTTTGGGACCATTCAGCCTTTCTTGTTGTCAAGAGTCTCTTTCCTCTCATCACCAACATTCCCCTTCTCCTTCCTCTTCCTTCTTTCTTGTTTTGCAGTTCCAAGCAGCGGGCAAGCTGGTGAGTCTTATACATTCCTCATCTGAACTTTCTACAAATCCACTCCAACCCCCTAAGTGACCTGCTCAGGTAGACTCCTCACTTCCTGGCTGCTCTGGGATAGTGTCTCTTCCCACTCTCCTCAACTCCTGGGACTAAATTTGCTTGAAGGTATTTAGAAATGGGTGCTGCTTGGTGGACTGATGGTCTGTAAGCCAATGAATGTGATCTCCTCTCCTGCAGGGATGGGTTAGTACATGGGCTGGGGCCTGGGAGCTGGGGCTTCCTAAGATTTCCCTAACTCAAGACTGTTTCTTTGGGCACCTCACCTTGATTCTCTTTGCATGCTGCCTCCTCTCACCCCACCTGGCACCCCAGCTGCTCTGGAGAAGCCCATATTGTCTCTACACCCACCTTGGACCACGATCTTCAAGGGGGAGCGGGTAACTTTGAAGTGTGATGGATACCACCCACTGCTCCTGGAGCTCCGGCCCATCAGCACTCTCTGGTACTTGGGCCACCTACTTCTGCCCTCTCACAAGAAGAGCATTGAGGTGCAGACACCAGGGGTGTATCGATGCCAGACACGGGGAGCACCAGTCAGTGATCCCATCCACCTCTCTGTATCCAATGGTGAGTGGTTTGAGCATGAGGGGATGGGGAGCATGTGTCTCCTCTGGCAACACGGGCCCTCTGGTAGGAGGGGACGCTGGGTCAGTCCCAAGGTCCAGGAAACAAGATCCACACTGGGGCCAGTCTTAAGTCTCTGGAGTAGGTAGGGACCTGCATGACACTCTGCAAGAGATGCAGTAAGCACGCCTGGCCCCAAAGGTCCCTTTAGCCTCCTGCCACAGTGTGAGGCACAGTGTGAACATTTCTGTTTGTTTCTGAGACCAGCTCAGAAGAGCAAAGGCTCCAAGGACCTGGAGTGCTGGACAGAGAACTTTAGGGGTAGGGGAGTGAGCAGGAAAGGAAACTCACCAAGCAGGAAAGGTGAGTCTCCCTGGCAGACAGAGTGCAGATGGAGGATCTACTCTCAGTTGAACAGTGTGACACTTCTCTGGGCCTCAGTGTCCATCTGTAAAAAAGGGACAATAATGGTATGTCCCTTATTTGGCTGCTCTGAGGATTAAAAGTGAATTATGTTTTGTTAAAGAAAAAAAGCAGCAATTGAACTGAGCACTTACTCAAAATTTTATTACAGACATGTATAGATGTGCACACAGGAGTCAACTGAGAAACTGATTCTCGAGATGCTTAAAGGGTTTTAAAACAGAATAAGAAAAATAACAATAATTTGTTCATTAAGGTACAGGATTGCCAGGTACAGTGGCTCACACTTGTAATCCCAGCACTTTGGGAGGCCAAGGCAGGCAGATCACCTGAGGCCAGGAGTTTGAGACCAGCTTGGCCGACATGATGAAACTCCATCTGTCTCTACAGAGATACAAAA